GGGCCTTTTGAACATGTAATTGTTTATAATTGTCTTGTTCTGTTTTTAGAGACAGTTGGAAAATATTTCACAAACCACGTACTTAAATTTGCTCCCTTCAGCTCTTTCTTATTTGACTCCTAGCCCTCTTATGTGTTAACTGGATTTGAATACTTGTCTACTTTTCTATGTTTTGTGTGAGCAACCTTACCATATATGTACCAGGATATAAACATTTTTCTTACCTATAAAAGTCTGTGACCTTTCCTATGTAAGTGTTATGATTAAAAACTTGGACCAAAATCTGCTTCTGATTCAGACGCCACCTGTCCTGGTATTACAGAAAGGTCAGAACAGATTTGCAACAGCAGATGAACAAAAAGCATTAGAAAATCACACAAAGAGAAGTTTGTGCAAAACATACAGAATGGGATCTATTTTAACTTGTATTTAATCTCAAATATTTAGAGAAGTGCCACTGATCAGGATGCATTCTGGCAAGATAGTTGGGAAAAGCAGCAAGACAGTCAGAGGAAGAAATCCCTCAGCCTTCACTGAAGATTAACCCATCTGTGTCAGATGCACCAACAAATGATGGGCAAAACCATGTCAGGCAGAAATAGCATAGGAGGGCAGTAGATTACTTGAGAAGTAGCCAAAAATCTTAGATTCTAATCTTAACATTATCTTTATTACTCAGGACAATTATTTCTATGCCTTCTTTTAATTATTGTTTATAAACTGAAAGTAGTAACTGCCTGTATGTAAAAAAAAGCAGTTGCAACCATCTGTGAGTGACAGCCTGTATAGGTAGGAAGTCCCTGAAAGCACCATGGAGGAACAGAGATGCTTTCTTTGGTTTCGGGATCACACTGTGCTCCTTCACATCCCAAAAGTGAGTACGAAGTAGACCCCAGACTTGTGCAGGGAGTCCAGGCAGATGTGAAGGCTGTTAAAGCAGTGGGTGTCAGCAGGGAGAGCGGTGGTCCTGAGCTGGCTTCACCACCTGTGAGGAAGTTGTGACCCTCTTGTCACAAGATCCCTTTATAGGAAGGGCAGGAGAACCTCTGTGGGGCTGGACAACAAGTTACAAGGCTGTTTGGTTTTAAGAGCTTCTAGGCCTAATTCTTGGCAAACTTAAATCTATGGTCTCTCTTAGTGTGCTGTCACACTGGCTGTATAATAACAGCACTTTGGGAAGTGTAGGATTGTAGACCTGTGAGATTTATCTTCTTTGGTTGAGAAGTGGAAATGCTGCAGCTCTGAGAGCTGGCTGGCTGATTTAGCAAAGTGATGTGGGTAGCTAACCTCAAACCTAACTTCCAAGCTGCTGAACAAGGAGTACTATGCTTGCTACCTGGTGTGGCCAAGCACTCCAAAAAAGCACTGCCTCAGAGAAATTTGAGGCAACCATGAAACCTTACGGAGGTGAACTGTTAATGCAGATGCAAACCAAATGTGCGTAGGGTGAGCCTGTCCATACAGTCAGTCTGTAGTTTTCACTTCTTAGCAGAGGCATAACAGTTCAGTGATATAATATCACATAGTTAATACGTTAACATTTATAACAATTTTAAATATCAGAGATTGTCCTATAAAAAATGAAAGTATAAACCACTCTAGAATACAGTTCTTGGAAGTATTACATCTTGCAACTAATGGTAGCCTTGCATGAGTATACTGAAGAAATTGGAAGAATGGATCATTTTTAGCATAAATAAAGTTTGTCTTACTTATTTACCAATAAATATTAAATGATAGCATCAACAATTACAAGTGTGTTCACTGCATCTCTGAGTTTAAACTCATATGAGCAGCACTGGCTTGTGTTGCAGTGTGAGAATATATATGGCATAATTACTCTAGCTTCACTGGGAGGGACTTAAGCATGGAAGCATGGAGTTTTGAATGGGCCCATACACTTTACTGTAGGACTATTCTTGCCTCTTATTCCAAAAACTCAAGAGGCTTTTTTTTGTTGTTGTTTTTCTCCCAGCAAAGTGAGCTTTTGTGCTGTAAACACCATTCATTTGGTACAAGTCACTTTGTTTCAGTGGAAGATCCACACACAGCAGGACAGACAGCAGAGCACAAGTCTTATGGGGAGCAGCTGAGGGAGCTGGGATTGTTTGGTCTGGAGAAGAGGAGGCTCAGGGAACACCTTAGCTCTCTACCGCTGCTGAAAGGAGGCTGTGACGAGGTGTGGGTTGGCCTCTTCTCTCAGGTAAGAGCAATAGGATGAGAGGGAGTGGTTTCAGGTTGGATATTAAGAAAAATTTCTTCTCAGAAAGAGTGGTGAGGCAGTGGCACAGGCTGCCCAAGGCGGCAGTGGAGTCACTGTCCCTGGAGGTGTTCAAGAGCTGTGTGATGTGGCACTGAAGGACATGGTTAGTGGGCATGGTGGGGATGGGTCAGCAGTAGGACTAGGTCTTTTCCAACCTTAATGATACTACAAAAACTGAGCCTTACCTGTGAACACAAGGTGACCAGAAGTAGCCCTACTTGTGAAGTGAGCTTCAAGAGCATGTGCTGCTGGCACCTGCCTGCTATGCAGTAGAATCACTGGCTGAGCTTCCAGGTGTGGAAACTTCTGCTTCTCCCTCATGTCTATCTAATACCGTGGTGCTGCTGGAGTCCTGCTGAGCTGGGTTGGGGGTGGGAAAGGGTAGCTGAGGTTGAGGAAGAAGGTGTGGAAACTTCTGAAGCTTGCTCTGCTGACAAAGTCAACATGGCGGAACTACAGCCTAAGGCAAAAGATTCAGGAATGCAGAAACGCTAGAATATCAGCCATGAAGGGGTGCTTGGAATTACTTCCAAGTTTATGTTTTTTTTTAATACTGGAAAGTAAAGTCTTGAATTTTTTTTTTTTTTTATTGGTTGATTTTAAGATGCTTGTGTACTGAACTGTATTCTTTCAGTTTTTATGTGTCCTTTGGATATTCATAGAAAGTGTGAGCCTGGCCAGTGAGGAGAAGGTAGTATGGGGATGTATTTCAGATACAAAACAAAAAGTAGGAAAATGCTGAAAGGATTAGGGGAAAAAAAAAATCAGAACATGAAGGAAGAATATGAGCAAAGCAAAGTGCTAAGAGAACTAGATATAAATGATCTCTGTTGGTAATACTTAACACAAATGATGATCTGAAGTTTTTTTCTGCAGTGCAGTTCCATAGATAGTGATATCCTGAAGGCAAGAAGAGTGCCTAGTGGAAATCAGACTTGTTCTTCTGCTTGTAGTATGGAGAACTTCTGTACTGAGTGAGGCGTATTGGCATCAGGAAAAGCTGTGCAGATCCAAGAAGATTTTTTAATTCTCTTTTAAAGGGTGGTGGGAGAAAATAGGTTCCATATGTAATTTGTACTTTGGAGCATTTTTCTAGTGTGCCAGGCTGCTCAGAAGTGTTGGAGATATCTCCTTCACAAAATAGATAAACAGTGCAAGAAATTAATAGAAGAGAATAGTAATTTATTTGCTCTGTGTTATAAGGAGGCAAATAAAGACAGAACTTTCTGTGTGCTCTCCCTGAAAAAGTATCTTAGTGTTTTGGAATGCGTTACGAAAGATTACCGGAGGTGCTCTGGAAGTACATGGCTCTATAATGAAGAGGATCTATAAAAGACAGGAAAGGGCTTTTCTTTTCTGTTTTGAAGCAGATCAGAAAGATCTTAACCTTAGCAGTGAGAGCATTCTGTTCTCATTTTGGCTCAGGGAAGCTTGACCCTGAGCAGCTTGTAGGGAAACCATCGTGTTTTCAGACTTTATTTTCTATTTTGTGTGAATGTTAGTGTATGTTTAGCTGCAATGCCTAATGCACAATTGGAATAAAACCTTTCTTTTCAGAAGTCCTACTGTGTCATGCTTAACTGTGTCTTCATAGTCAGTGGTAACAGGGGTTCTAGTCTGCATCCAAATCCTGACAGAATTCAATAAAATGCAAATAATGTGTTTTATTCTTTTATTTAAATAGTTTTCTGCTTATCTCTTCATACAAATAAAAACATAACGGCTTGTCATTTATAAATAGCAAAGCTAAATTTCTAAAATTAACAAAGAAGGCTGTTCGAAGTGGTTATCGCTTCACTGTAAAACATTTCTCACATGCTATATTGATATGATAGGCAATGCAGGAAGTGATCTGTCATTAACATCCTTAAATGTTTTCCTTTATAAGGTTTTCTTTGTAGTTGCATGTAGCTTAAAGGTTTTTATTAAAATGTTTGCTGCTGGACTGTACTTAAGGATGACTGTAAGAATTGGGGCAAAACAAATGTTCCCCTCGTTCCAGAGATGGGATTCTGAAGAATGTATTGACCAAGGTAAAGTGGCTATAAGGACATATGAGACTTTGGACTACTGACATTTATAATGGACAGTGAGTGTTGCCTTGGTAATTATAACACACCTAATGTCACCTTTCTACAATTTCTTCTTAATTTGCTTGCAAACCCCATTAGGTATGTCCGTTGTTCAGTAGAGTTTCGATAAATCTGATGGCTGTGATTTGTGATGATTCCATCTGCCCTGAGCACACTCCATTTGACTGCAATCCTTAGTGTAAGGACTGAAGTACTGTGAATGCCTTCTAGCTGCACGTTAGTTGTTGTTATGCCAAGGAATGCTGCAGTGGGCAAGTCATCAACTATGCCATTATTTTCTTTTCCAGAAAAAAAGTAACACATATACACATAAAGTTGGGTTTTTTTTGGTGTGTTTTTGTTGTTGGTTTTGTTTGTTTTTTTTTTTTTCAGATAGCCTTAGGTACACTATCTGCCATTTCTGTATGCTTGAGTTATGAATATGTCAGTATGATGTGAAATAGGTACTTTGCTTTCATCTTAAGCTTTTTGGGGCATGGCTTTTTCAGTTGCAGCGTATGCGGAATATGGGCTATGTGTTGGAAAACATGTTTTTTTGTCCTTTTAAGTCAATGCTCTTTTGTATTTAAATTGAATCTTATTGGCTTTCGAGTACAATTGAATAATTCAAGTCCTCAGTGTTGCAAAATATCTTTGTTTTTCAGTTCTGAAAACAAAGGGAGCGAAGCCATAAATTTAAAGAGCAACCAAAAGGAAAATACAACTCTTCCTGCACTTTTGAAGGTATGATTTTTATTTACTAATACTGAATAGAGCTAAGCCTGCCACATTTGCTTGTGGTTCTTTTCTGTGTTTTGAGGTTGGAGGTATTCATGCACTGTGAAGTACCACATATTTGCTGTATTCTGGGTTAGGATCCATTATGCTAGGGTGTGCATATGAAAAAAGAGATTGTCCACACTTCATGTTACTGAAACATAGTTCATGTATTTACTTACATGAAAAAAGTGGAAGTCAAGTGCCTATTCTGCATGCAGTCAGCCAGTTAAGGAGGAAGTTATCAAATGATGGTTTCAGGCCTTCCCCTAAAGTACTGTTTCTGTATAATTTATGAGTGTCTAACCAGCAAGTGTTTTCTCGATGTTTCACTGGTTGCCAGCCAGAGAGTTCTAAGATCTTTCTGCTGAAATACTTGCACATTGCCTATTCTTCACTAGTGTTACCCATGTTAATCATGCTTGTCTTATCCTGTAAGCATTCTATTGCAAAAACAGACATGTTTCCATGTGATCAGAGTTTTCTCCTGTGAGTCATTTGACACAAAGTGGTAGCTGCCCATAAAGTTGTGTTCAGATTTAGTAAAATATGATAAATAGTTACATAGGAGAATGGGGCCTGGTGATACAACCCTCTTCCAAATAGTTGCTGTAACATCATCCCCTGTGGAGTAGTTCTAGCAGTTCATTCACTCTAACCACTACCTTTTGTTCTTGTTCCTAGTCTTAGTAGCAGTGTAATACAGATAACTTGTGACACTTTTCCCAAAAGGACCTTGACTAGTCCTCTAGACTCCTCTGTGGATTGAGTAGACTTCTTCACAGGTGAATCAGAGGTTTTCATCCTGTATTACCTTGACTAAGCACTAAAAGTATACGTGGAAGTGGTCTTCTTCCTGCGTGTCGTGCAGTCACTGGATAGTTTCTTCAGTATCTAGGGACTATTTGGCTGAGTTTTGGCAAAGGGCAAGAGGCATTTTTTCTTTTTTGTCTCACCATTGAAACTTTTTATGTGCCAGGATGTTACTATCAATCGTCATTTGATCACTTTCTAAAAAATGTGATTGAAATGTATTTACTACATTAGTTCATTGCCAGAATGTACACCACGGCCTGCTACTGTTTATTTACAGATTTTATTTGGCTTGATTTCCGTGAAATGGAGCTGTAAACAGTGTAAAAGCTCCATTTGAATTATGTGATTGTTGAACACGCGGCTGCGTGGTTGTAAACAGGTCTTGTACTTCATGTTGTCTTTCCTAATTATCTGCATTACGTAGTGTCCAGCATGTGTTAGTTTATCTTTAGCCTCGCTTTTAGCACTACACGGACTTTGCTTTTGAAGGGAATATTGCAATTATGTTTCCTGTACAAGTCCATGAGTAGATCCTTATTGTTTTTGGCAATATCCTTAAAACAGAGATTTACAAATAGAACATAGGTCTACTAATTGAACAAATGCAACAAGTGTAGTGAGCTGCATGCTGTTAAATGCCTACTTAGTATAGCTTTGAAGAAATCACACAGCACTTTTGCTGGTCGTGCTTGTGCCACAGGTCTGACCTGGACTTCTGTGGTATTACTATACTGTAGTTACAGCATCAGTGACTGGTGCTTGGGTTACTTCCATGGCAGTGAGTAATTTCAATTCCTGACTAGCCCTACATGGGTTTCTCAACCATCTGAGGCTTTGCTTTGGCAGTGTAGGCAGATGGACTTGCCTGACAATCATCCCCAGACATCCTTCCTCTAACAGTGCCTGGAAGAAAAAGCATGTTGTCCTGTCATTGATCAGGAAAGAGTTCTTAAGCAACTCAGCATAAGAACTGTCCTGCGAGCTTTGCGAAGCAGTTGCGAAAGTTTGAGAAAGGATGTACAGATATGATCTACCAAATGTATAATTTAGGCTTCAGCATTTTGATAGCATTAAATATTTTATGATTTAGCCCAAAGGCTAAAGCCTGGATCATAATTGCCTCAACTGACTAGAAACAGAGATTCTCAGTCTTCATAGATAACAGAGGCAGAAAGTACACTTCTACCCCAAGGTGAGAGCACTTTATCTGCCATACCTGATGCAAGTTTGTCTAACTTGTTCTCAAAGACCTCCAGGGATGGAGATCCCTAAGATCTCTACAACTTTGTAATCAGACAACTGTTCCACTGATTTCTTAAAGCTTGTAATTAGGAAGTCTTTTCTTAGTGTCCAATCTAGAGCTTCCTTGCTACAAATTAAACCTTTTGCTAGTTGTCCTGTGATAAATACTCCCGCACACGGTGAATGTTGAGAAGAGATTATTCAGAAACTCTGTGTTCTCGCATTGATTTTATTTCGTGTTAGAGATGTCTGTATTTAAATGGTAGATAAACTATTTAAATTTTATGTTATGACTCCAATTATGTGGGAAGATGAAGCTAGATTCTTTTTGGAGCTGCAATTTGCAAGAAAGAGGCAACACATGCAGCTTGGATCATGGGGAGTTCCATTTAGCTATGAAGATATATTTATTTCTCCCTTTGCTATAAGAGTGGTCAAATATTGACAGAGGTTGTGCAAGAGCATTGTGGAATCTTTCTCAGTGTTCACAATTCAAAACTCAGCAGTTCCTTGAACTTAGTGAATCCATATAGCTGTTCTTACTGAATGGCCATAATTCTGACTTTGTCATTAGTTTTAAATTCTACATAAAGAAATCAAAACTAAGCCAAATGTCATAGTTGATCGCATACTTCCTTTAGCATCATTTTGTTTCATATTGTTTTTATTTCACATGTTATATTATGTAAATAATGTCTGCATGCTTGCTGAATGCCCTCGTTGTAGAACCAGTAGGAATGAAAGAAATGATTCTTTGACTTTTGGGAGCCAAGGAAGCTGGAATATTACTGCCAACCATGAATTTTTTAAAAACTGAGCTACTTTTAAAAAATGTAGCTGTTGCTGCCCTCAGAAACAAATGAAAATCAAAACCTTTTTTTTGGAGCTTGTATGATCAGGATTTCTCCTGTGGAATCCAACAGCAAATCTTTTGCACTTTGGTAAATGTTCAGACTTTCTTTGTGCATAGAACATTCTGTTTGCCCACGACACCTAGTTAAAGTAATGGTATTATCAGTTGTATGTGTTTGGGAAGACATTTCAAAATCATGCTATCTAGTGTCCTGATAAGTTCTTTTGTCATACTGGAGATTTTTAGAAAAGATGAACCTGAAACATGCTTCCTTCTCTACTACTCAGTTCTTCGAAGATTGTGAGCAGCTTCATTTCAGGATGGATGAAAATACAATGGGCTTAAGCCTTGCTGAGTCTGGTGCATAGAACCGCTGAGGAGACAGATGGGGAAGAGAGTAATGCCAGAAGCTATAGCATTATATATATATATATACATATATACAATATATAGAATTTAAGTGTGTGGGGAAATCACACTGTCTTACCCTGTTCCCAGTGTACTGCCTACTTGTAGGTGCTTGGTTTTTTTGTTTTTTTTTCCACACTGAAAAGGTGAATTTGATTTTTTTTTTTAATTTATTTTTGAATATCAGGAAATTATCAAGTGAAAGAGTAAAAATCATTTCATGATTGTAAAAGAATTTTAATTAAAAGGCAGTGAATGGAAGAGTAGTTCTGGGACGATGTAAGGAGAAGAAGAGTAAAAAAACATTTAAATCCATTCTTTGTGGCTTATACTAGACCTAATCATAATTAGGAGATGTGTCTGTATTTATATATTGAGAAGTGAGTGCCAGTTCTTACTCTTTAATCAGAGCTTTAAAGTAATTTCAGGAAAAAATTCAGAGAGGAGAATTTTTGAAGTAAATTCAAATCGTATGAACAGAGTTTCTTAAATTATAACATACATTTTCTCATTCTAGAGGCTTTTCCTGAGTTAGAATTCACCATGAAGGTGACCTAGCAGAAACTTTATTTAAAACTGATCCTCTTTTTTCTCTTTGTTTTTATTTGAAGCCTTTGTGCTTACTACCTTCCTTTTTGTTCACTCGTTAGGAAAGGTGTGCGAATATTTCCTTAGATTTTATGTGAATGCCGAGTTTCAGAGCATCTTTGTCTCATCTTTACTTTCATCATCTGACAACTGAAATGTGTTAAGGTTCCCTCGGTATTTGAAAAATTCAAATGAATAAACAAATTTTAAAAGTCCCAGTGCTGAACTTTTAACAAAGGCCATCACTCTTCCAAATGTTAAATTAAATAGTCGTTGTTTAAGTAGATGTATTTTTAAAAAAATGCAAAACTTACACAGTTTTAACTAAAAAGTCCCTCCTGTTGTTTAACTTTTACATCTAATTTTGCCATGATGTCATTAATTTTCTAATTGCTCTTTTAGTGTTTACATGACTTGATTTTTTTTTTTTTTTCATGTTAAAACAAGCAGAGAAAGGAGGATGTGGAAGAAGAACTTGACAGTATTAAAAAGTCAAAATGTCCAGAGGCTCAAAGCATCAGTTATTTGTGGAAACACAGAACCCAGATTAAGTTGAAGCCCCAAAACTTCCAGGGCTGTCTTTGTTATTATTTTTTTTTGCTTTTTCCTGATTTATTTAGTTAGGACAAGCAGGTTTTTTTTTACAATGGTAGAGATCCCTTGCATCATGTCTAACTCCACTTTAATTACTGGTATAATGAAAACAAAAACAAACCCAATGCTTTGTGTCAGAGTGGTTTCTAAATCTGTTTTTCTCATGAACACTAGCAACAGAAGACTCTTAGGAGATCTGTTTATCATGTGTTTCACTGCCTAATAGTACCTTTTCCTGATATTTTTTTTTTCTTAATGCTGTGACAGTTTGTTCGAGCGAGTCTTGTTTTTAATCTCTCCCATTACATCCAGTCCTTTTTCATCGGGTTTGCAGTAGACAAAGTAGAGACAGTTGGCATGAATTGTGTCTGGAAAAGAGGAGGCTCAGGGAATAACTTACCACTCTCTACAACTTAGGTTGTGGTGAGTTGGAGTCAGTTTCTTTTCCCATGTAACTAGAGATAGG